TGGTAAACACACGCAGGCTGAAGTTTGAATCTTGAAAATCTCGGGTTCCTCCCCTCGTTGCCCCGATTTCTACAAAGGCTTCCTCCACCTGCTCCCTCCCTTGGCTCAGAGTTTCTATCTTTGGCTCCCCTGTGGGGTGTAGAGGAGGCAGTAAAATCTTGCAAGTAAAGGGTAGTTGAAAACCAAGATTTCTCCTGTAATCGAAGAAAAACAGCCACTTTCGCTGGAGGAGCAGGTACCACATGTGCCCGTGCTCCACTGTGTGGCGTATCCAGCTCCTCCACTGCAGTGAGGATGCATCTCCTAAAGCTCCCTTCCTGCCTGTTCCCCACTGCCCCTCTGGAGTATGAAATGGAGGAGGCAGAAAGCTGAGGTGTAGCTCAAAGGAGATGCCCTTGCTGGGGAGCTTATGTGAGAATCTGACCCTGAAAAAAGCTCTGCTTAGAATCCCTTTGCTTTGATTCCAAATTAAGGGGTTTTCCTTCTGTTGTAGCATCAGCCCAAGCTCTTCTTTTCTTTAGCCTCTTACCCTTGTCTCCCCAGTGCCCTAAGCCCACGTTCTGAGTCACGTCCTGGCACCAACCTGGGATTTGGTGTCTCAATGAGACAGTTTGTGTCCCTCCACCAGCTGTCAGTGCCAGCAAACCTGGAGCTCTTTCCCTCTGTTCCCATCTAATGGTGGTTTTCCTGGACCCCACTGCTATAGGAGGAGATCAGAGAAGTCCTTTGGATGCTGAAGATAGGACTCATGTGGACCTTAATACAAGAAAAGTGTTTCTCCTTGCTCTAAAGGCTGTCAGGGGCCATGTCCCAGCCGTGTGGGGGCTGCTGATGTCATCTTCTCAACTTGGCTGTGCAGAGGGACCTCCTGGGCAAGAAGAAGTTGATGTGTTCTCTGCTCTGATACTAAGCTGGAGAAAAGCCATGGAAGGGAAAGGTCCCAGGACAGTGAAGGCAAGTGGGGGAACCAGTGTGTCCCAGCTGAGTGGAAAGTCCCTGTGATGGAGCTGTGACACCCTGAGGGATTCCCATGACCTCAGCAGGAAAATACATTCTATTTTGTCGGTAGTTTTTCATGGGTTTTAAAAACTTAGGCATTTCTTCAAACCTTGTGCCTCAAAGCAGGACAAGTGAAAATCTGAAAGCAATGATCAGCAAGTTCCTTCATCCCACCAAGGGGTAAATGTTTATTTGTTTGGTGTTAGTTAACAGGATCATTGTGGTTTACTTGTTCACCTTTGTAACAGGGACAAAGGAAGCCTCTTAACTAAACAATCTTGGATGGAATTTCCCCCAAAATCCTGCATTTATGCAAGAACAATTTTCACAAATACTCTTTAGATACTTTCCAAACTGAGCTTCAGTGTGTTATGCTGTTTCTCACTCACTTTAATCAGTGGGGTTTTTTATCTGCTTAGAAATTTTTCAGGTGTTTTTTGGGCACTCAAAAAACAACTCAAAACACTTCAGAGGAGGGGGTGGGTTCATCTTTGTCCCATGCCCACAGCGTGGTGAATCATTGGCCATTTGGTGAAAACAGGGCAAAACCTTGAGAGGCAAATTGGTTTCTCTCAGAACATGGGGCTGTTAAAAACAGGGAGCTTAAATGTTGTCACTTCTGTGGCTGAGGAGGCTGTAACATCACTGGCATGATGTGATAGGAAGCACAGCAAGCCTTGCTCTCTGCCTGCCTCGCCCTGGGCTGTCTGTGATCCAGGGATGTGCACTGGTGTGTTCAGCTTGCTTGGTCAGCTGTGTTTGGACCAGAGCAGTGTGAAGCAGTGGGGATTCTGTCTAGGTGAGATCTGACCTGGTTCTTGTGAGGAGTCCAGTCCTTTCTGACCATGCTGATCCTGCAGGTGGCAGGAGGGTGGCATGGAGTATAAGGAACATGCGTGGAGAGCTGGAGATTTGCCTTCTGCTCCCAGCTGTGCCACCAGTTGCTGTGGGACAGAAGAAGGATTGCTTAACTCATCCAAACATTGCCTTCTCTGCTTCTTCAGTGGTGACTGCATGGTTTGCACAGTGTTTGGAGGCTGCTTTTAAGGTGCAGTTGCTGGAGAATAGAAACCAACCTCAGACACTGGGGAACATCAAAGGCTTGAAATCCCAAGCTTGATTTTGTAGGGCTGGGGTCTGGTGCATGAACAAGGTGTGTGGTGGGATAAAGCCCTTTTGCTTACTTTCCTCAACTCTTGCCTACACTGTGCAGAGCAGGAGGGGCATTTGACCTGGGCACATTTTTCCATATGCAATATCACAGAATTATTCAGAGTGGAAAAGACCTCCAAGATCATCGAATCCAGCCTTTGACCAATCATCACCTGGTCAATTAGACCAGAGCACTGAGTGCCACATCCACTTGTTTCTTGAACACCTCCAGGGATGGGGACTCCACCACCTCCCTGAGCAGCCCCTTCCAATGCCTGAAGGGGATCCAATGCCCTTTCCTTGAAGAAATTCTTCCTGATGTCCAACCTGATATGCTCGTGGTTAATACCTTGTGCAAGGGCAATGCCTGAGGATGTTTCCCACAACTGCTGTGGTGTCTCCTCTTTTCCTGTCTCCTGGGAGCAGTATCTCACAGGGGCTGGACAGATGTGTGGACACCAGGTTGTGCTGCCAGCAGAGCTGCTGTCAGGAGAGTTGTCACAATCTCATACTGGAAGTGTCTCCCTGGTGTTTTGTCTCAGTTGATCCATCCTTTCTCCCTTCCCTGGGTGGTGGTTGTGCTCTTCTGCTGGGAGTCCAGTTGGGAGAAGAGGATGAAGGGGCAGGTTTTTTTTTTAACCTGCAGAGTTGCTCAACGCCCTCATAAAAAGCAAAACATTGATCCAAAACCTTGACCTCAACACTTGTTTTTCTTCGTGTTCTTGAGATGCTTAACAGGGCTTCTTAGAAAGTCAGATTACATCCTCCAGTACTGTCCCTTGCCTTGTCATCTCATTCAGCGTGGGTGGGAAGGAAGGCAGAGTTGGGGGAATACACAGCAGAAAAGGTTGCAGAGTTCCTGCTCAGCTGTGGTGGACAAATGGAGTCCTCTCCCATGAAAAATGCTTCCATAAGCACTGCCTTGGGAGAGGAGGGTTAGATTCATGTGTGGTCTGTGCCACACCAGGAAAAAAAACAAACAAACAACACAAGTCTGTGTTTTGTGTTTTGAAAGTTGTGGTAATACCTTGGTTATATTTTGTCCTTGAATTCCCTGCCTGTTGTGTGCTGGCACACGAGAGGCTGTGGGAAGGGATGGCTGGGCTGGTGTGGGGTGAGGAGTGTGTTCCCCTCCGGGGACTGAGCTGTGCCCTAAAACGAGCTGACGTGCAGGGAGAGGTGTTTTTTTGTGAGCTGGGTGTTGTAAGGGGTGCCTGTGAGTCACCCTGTGCTCGTAGTCACCGTTTTGCTCTTGCCACAGGCTGTGACCGAGGTGCTGGCGTGCGATCCCCCGCTCGTTCAGCCCGCGGCACCGCCTTCCTCATGCGCGCACGTGGATGGACAAAGCTTATGGTGAAGACCAAAATAACAGGCTGTGGCAGTGGGACACAAGAGGCAGGAGCCCATGAGCCTCTTTGGGGTGAAAAAGAGAACTTCTTTTGGCAGGTCAGTGGCGGTTCTTGTGTGTTTGCTCTCACCTGTTTGGAGCTGTTGGTGGATTCTCTCCAGGACAGGGGGCAAGGCTGGAGCCAACCTCCCCCACTGTCTGGGCTCCTGGGGAGTCCCAATAGCCAGGCACAGCTTTCCTGAGCTCTTTTTGGGGATTTGCTGGGAATTAAATGTGAGTGGAGGTGCACCGAGCATGGAGGACCATGGAGCCTTTGCTGAGATCACAGTGACTTTGGTTCCTTCCAGGGCAGAGATGTGGAGCTGTGATGTGTGCAGCCACCACTGAATACTGAGCACCAAACACTGACCAAATAAGCAGAGAACTGAGAATTTGGGGTAGCTGTGGGAACTATATAGGTGTGTGACATTGGTACAGGAGTGTTCTGTCCAGAGTGAAAGCAAAGACCTCCTTGGCAGGTGGACTTTGTAGTATTGGAAGGTTTTATTTCTTCTTCCTGGATTATGTTTGTGCATTTTTGTTGCCTCTAACCAAGAGGCAAAGAGTCTGTGGGATGAACTCATGTCTGTGCTTTGGGAGAGGAGGGACACCTGCCCCAGGGTCCCTCTGGACTCCAGGGCTGGCACTGCAGGGGAGGAGGGAATCTCCTCCCGGTCATCTCTTTGATTGCTCCTGGCCAGGCAGATCTGAGCAGTAAATCCTCTGGCCAAGTGGCTTTTATGTTCAAGACCTCCCAGGCAGATGCATTTGAGTTGGGTGGGATAAAATCTTCCTCCCCCAGCCCAGGGTTTCAGGTTGCATCCTGGGCTGTGGAGGAGAGGCGGGATGTGACAGGGCTGCAGCCCCACAATCTGCAATCCCTGTTTCACAATGTCCTCGGATGTTGGGGCTGACGTCCCCTTTGGGTTTTCCTGCATTGCCACAAAGGCACGTGGACCTTTTCTTCACATTGGTGCGTGGCAGCAAGGTGACAGTGCTGGTGGCTTCCCTGGCCACTTGGAGTGTGTTTGTGACCATTGTCAGCGGACACTAGAGGCGTCAAGGACAATCCATGCCTAATGCAAGGAGTAGAAGTGTGGATTCTGCTGCCATCTTTTCTGGGTTGGACCAGATGATCTTTTGAGATCACTCCCAGCCTGGACTGTTCCAGGATTCCCATTTGAGCTGTAATCTCTTGCAGTGTTATCTTTGAAGGAGGTTAACCCACGATTACCTCCTCACCACAGACACGTAAGCGAGACTCGTTCTGCCCTGCAGACGGAAGTTGTGAGAAGGCAGAGATGTCTGCAGTAGGTTTGGGGTGACACGAGGCAGTGATGGGGTGGTGATTCACCAGGAGCCCCTTGTCTGCACTGCAGCTGAAGCATGGCAGTGCTCCCTTCCTCGCACTTCAGTAAGGACACTGTATACAGTACTAACCTTCCTGCTTCTTCCTCTCCAGGAGATGAATTAAAATGCAGCACACCACGTGCACAGAGGACAGGATCTACCACGCACTGGAAAGATGTCTACATGGGCTTAGCAGAGATGCTGTCTCCAGCAGATGGGCTGGTAGGTGACCTGTTAACCATGAGCTTGTTCTTCTGTCTCTGTGTGATCTGCTGACCTACCTGGGCTCCTGGGTAAGAGAGCTGCTGGTGCTACTGGAGGTTTGCAGGCATTTTTCCCTTCCAATGCTCCAAGTTATATGCGGGATCCAACCTTCCCGAGCCTCTTGCTGTAGTAGGATGATGTTCCAAGACATTGAACAAGTCGTGTTAGGTCTTACCTGTGTAAAGGCTCAGAGGGAAGTCGTGCATGTTGCCAGCTGTCCATGCGTGAGCAGAGAGAGGAGGAGTCTTTGCTCACCACGAGGAAAGACTCCTTTGTGCAACCAGCCAGCCTTGCTTGGATGCTCATAGACCCCAAACCCACGGGTGTGGTCTCTGTTGCATTGTCAGAAGCAGGCACAGAGATTTTTACTGGCTTGATTTAAACCTGGGTCTGACACCGTGGTGGCCGTAAAGAGGTGAGCCATGTGCACAGGGCTGCCAAGGGATTCAGGATGACAGTGGTGGGGGCAGAGCAGCAACGAGCAGAAGTAATTTTTGGATGTCATTTTGACCTTTCTTCCTCATGCTCGTGTTTGTGAGCTGCAATTAAATCACTCCTAAATCCTCTTACGCATCAAAGAATTGAAACGAATTTGGGGGGCTGTCAAGTTCAGATTCCTTTTTGTCTTTGCAGTTCTTTCAACCCTTTCTGCTTTTCTTTTTACCTGTAAGTCAACAAAGAGGTGAAAACAGTGCTGCCAAATACCAGAATAATCCCTTCTGCTGTGCCCATTTCCTCACACCCAGTTTAGCAGTGCTAGGTGATGCTGTAGCATCACCTGAGGTCTTGGTTCGTGCAGTTATGACCAAGACTCCTGTGCCCTTTTCATCTCCCCGTGCTCTGGGAGCCAGGCCCTGAAGTGTGACCTACATTCCCGGTTCCTGGAAGCGCGACCTCGCGCTTGGCACCGTGACAGCGCGTGTCCCAAGGAGTCCCATCTCGCCCAGCGAGTCATTGTGCTCCTGCAGAACTCACCTCTTCCTGTAATTACAACTAATCAATTCCTGTGTCACTCACAAGCTCCTAATCCCAGCCCCTCAGAGCTGGTGTTCGAGTTAGGGAAGCCTTTAAACAACGACTTTGTAATTTTTCTGGCTCGTTAGCCAAGACCAGACTGTGCAGGGCGGGGGCTGGGGGTGGTGGGCTCTGCTGGAGGCAGCTGTGCTGCCCAGGGATTCCTCAGTCCTAATGATTTCCCCCCATCTCTCCGCCTGCTGGTTCTCAGCGCCCTTCGTGTGGGTTTTGCGGGGTTTGGCAGAATGACCTGGCATTCCTGGGAGAATCTCAGGCGTGTTGCACATCAGAAGGTCCCCTTTCATGGAAGGCATCTGTGCTCTTGCCAGCAATCTCCAGCGTGACCAGCGCTCCCCGTTTCCGCTCCGGCGGTGGGTGGGTGTTAATGGCTCTGCTGTGCCCTGGCCCAGGTTCTGCTGCTGGGGAGCCCCCAGGGCAACCCCTCCAGGGCCTTCCCGTGGGGGCTGTCCTCAGTTTTAATGTGCTGCTCTTTCACATCCTACCCCCTTGCAGTCGGAGTAGGAATTATTTGCAGTAACACGTACGGTTTAGGGAAAACAGAGCACAGTGCACCCACACCCCATAGCAGGGCATCCTATCGCTTTCAGAAACAGAGCAGAAATATTTTCACATCCTTCTGCCTTCCCCATGTTACAAGCAACAGTTTCATTATCCCTGTTCTGTGTCAGATCCAGGCTGTTATTTCTGGCAGGGTTGTTCCTCATGTAGTCAGTGAATCCTTCTATCTTGTTCTTAGCTGGGCCGTAACCTTCTCCTTTCTCATTTTTAACTTCTTGCATCACTTCTATTTCCCAATTTATTTGCTTTCCCCTCCTTTTTACCATTTCCATACACCAAAATAGCACACACCCCATTGCAGCTCTTAGGGCTGAGGCCTTGCTAGGGTTTTGTTAATTATTAAATTATTTAGTGCTTTATTTTTACGTTGCTCCAGAGTGGGTGAGTAATCGTTTCCAACACGTTGTTTCCCCCCTGCGTAAGTGACTGAGTAGCTGAGGTGTGTGAAGTCAGCAAAGAGGAGAAGTTGTGAATCTTTGGCCATCCCAGATTTATACTCTGGATGAGCCCATGGCCAGCTCTGAGGTCTAAATAGAAGATCTTTCTGCAGAGTTTATTGGAGGAACCAAATTTAAAATGAGTTGTCTGTGACTCAAAAATCCCGGTTAGAAAAGTGCTTGGAAGGACAATCTCCATTTCCTCATGGAGACCCCATTCAGGGTTTGCCTGGCTTCATGTGGCTGGAGAAAGACTGTAGCCAAATTAGTGTGATAAAGGAAGAAATATATTTTACTTCTTGCTGGTGAGCAGAGAAACAGGGAGCTTTTGGTGAGGGAAAGGCCTGGGCTTGGGTCTGGCTGCTGGCACTGCTGGGGATGCCATGGTAGAAATCAGAGGTGAGAGAGAGGCCAGAGGATTGTGGTGGATGGGAGGGCAGCCCAGTGCCTGGAAGAAGCACTGGGATCTGCTGGGAAGGAGCTGTTTGGTATCTACCACAGGGCTCTACATGGGTCAGAGAGGATGAAGGATGCTGGTGAGGGAGAGTAGATGAAGGTCACTGGTGAACTGGACAATGTCTCACACGGTGCCCAGAAATTCAGTGTGCTCAGCTCTGAAAAAGAGAAACTTAAGATCCTGTTCCATTGCATCTAAATACCCTCCTGGGGAAGGACCAGTCTGGTGTGGGGCTCCTCCAGCTTAGTCACTGAGTAGTGAAATGCAGTGTCTGAAAAACTTCCAGCTCAGGGTGCAGAACTATGGTTACTGGTTACTAAACCTGGCAAACTTTAACCTTTGAGCTGATTTCTCCAGACTTGTTGTGGGTTTTCTTGCCAAAATCACTGCCCAGAGTGGAAGTGCTTGGAATGGCTCCAGCCCCTGTACCTTGCTGCTGGATATCCATATTCCATATCTAAGCATCTACTTGGATATGGAAGCTGTGGGTTGGGTTGCTGTGCAGTGCAGGATGCATTCCAAGGGTTGGATTGCAAGGCTGCATTGGCTGCAAGGCTTGGACTGTCCCTTGCCCTTTGGAAACCTCCAACCCCTCTTTACAAACTGCTGTGAGCTGACCCTTCCTCTGGGCAGTCCCTTGGAGGAGCCACCTCCTTCTGGGATGGACATAGGTGAAATGGTGGGAGAGGGTCTGGGGGAGAGGGGAGATGAATCTGCTTGCTTTTCACTCCCTCCAGCTGTGTCACTTCGAACAGCACCAGCACTGATGCCCAGCCCAGGCGCTGTGGGCAGTCTGGGCATGATTTGGTATTTCTGCTTTATTTCTTTCCTTTATCCCGCTTGACGGTTGCCCACTACAAAGAGCGGCGGAGGGGAAATGCCACCCCCTGCACGAGGCCAGGAAGGAGCTACTCTGGGAGGAGGAGGAGGAAGAGGGCATCTCGGTGCAATTCTCAGAAAAGAAGTGGCAAAGCCTCATCCTTCCGAGGCCGCCCACGGGGCCGCTGCTGCCACTGGCACCGATAGCGATCAGAGCGCGAGCGGGTGCTGTGCCCAGGCTCCCTCCCGGCACAGGGGGCTCGTGCAGCCCCTGCCCAGCACCCCATCCCTGCTTGGAGGCTTTGCTGTGGTCTTTGCCCTCCCAAAGGGAGGTTTTTCTTTGGGTCTGTGTCCTGCTGGGCTCAGTGGAATCGCGCTGTGTTGGATGCTGGGATAAGCACGGCTTAGTCCTGCTTTTGCTGCAGCTCTGCCTGCTGCATCTCCCAGCTGGGGATGTGATGTGTTCTGGGCTGCCTGTGTCACTGGCAGATAAATCTGACTCATTTTCCATGTATTAAGTAAAAATAAATAGTGCTGGGTCACTGGTTCAGTGAAGCAAAACCAGATGCATGAGCATGAGGGCAGGGTGGATGTCAGCAGCTTTTAGCTGTGAGGCTTCTCACTGCCCTGCTGGGAGGTCTCCTGTGCCTCTTGAGACAAATTCTTTGGATTTAGGGGCTGGAAGGTGGAGTTCTGGTTTGTGCTGCCTATACAAAGGGCATCTATAATGCTGATCTGGACACCTCTGGAGCCATGGACTGCTCTCCTCTGAGGGGTTTGTGAGGGTGATTTTACTTCCCACTTCCTTCAGCCAAGAGGCTCCTTTCTGAGCTCTGCAAACCCTGCCTTGCCATGGGCTTGGGTGGGTGAGGTGAAGTGTTTCCCTCCAACATAGAACTTCCCAGACCTGGCACAGCTGGATAGCCTGGGGGTGATGGGGAACTCAGCTCCTGCTTGCAGCGATGGCCAGGAGCATCCTTGCACTCGCCCTGGGGACTCCCCAACCTTGCATCCTCCACACAGACTTGGGGCCTCCCTAGTGAGAAATGTTTTTTGGTAATTAAAAAGCAAGCGCAGAGTTCAGGGGAAAGCCTGGTTCAAGCTCCCCAGATGCCCTCTGTGCACATCTACCCTTGTCCACCCCGGGACAGGGAGGGTGCCCAGCATGGTCTGGTGCTGCTGGGTTTGAGCACACCTGGCACAGTGGGATGGACTGAGCTTGTCTTTGTGCTAGCACTGCTCTGGCCTGGTGTAAAACATCACTGCTGAGTTGTCCCTGTGGTGGTTGTGCCTGGCCCTTTGTGGTGAGACAATTCAGTGTTGCAGCAGAGCAGCAGTGTAACATCTGCTGGGGCGTGTTGAGGTGAGGGGTGGCTGCAAATAAACCTGTCTGGAAACCTTCTCACCTGGCTGCAGCCTCTCCCTGGCCTGGGAATAAACCAAGTGCTGCTCTGCAGTTCATGAAGTCCTTGAGTGCCACCACAGCCCCAGCTGTGTCCCACAGGGACACAGGACATCTGCAGAGGGACAGAGAGAGCTTCTTTCTGATGTTAAAGTTACCTTAGGCTTTTGTCCCTGTGCACATTAAGAACATCTCCCTCCCTGCCCAATAACCTTTCTGGTCTGGGTGCAGGGGATGTGGTTGCAGGGACTAACTCTGTTCTCAGAAAAGTGGGGAAGTGGATGATTGTGATCTCCACTATGAGAGAAGGGAAGGGAATTCCCACCAGGTCTGGATCCCTGTCCTGATGGTGCCGGACACTTCACTTTGCTGTGTGGTCTTTGTTTATTGTGTGCAGGATTTCCGAGCTGCATTTTGTGCTTGAGACTATTTTGGCAAGGGTACAGCTGTTATGGTGTGTCTCTGGTTAATGCAGCTGTGCCAGATTTAGGAGCTTGGGTTGTGGCAGCCTGCTGCTACCCCAGGGTAATCCCAGAGCCTTGCTATGTCCATGAGTTAAACAGAAATTTGATTATAGCAGTATCATTCAAATATACCTGATTGTATCATGGAGCTTCAGCTCATAGCTCCTGTGGAAGACCCAAAAATGGGAGAGAAGACCTCAGGTTCTGAATCACAGGATATGCTGTGTTGGAAAGGCACCACAAGGATTGAGTCCAACTCCTGGCCCTGCACAGGACACTCCAATAACCCCCCCCCATTCAAACCTTCCTGGAGCTCTGGCAGCCTTGGGGCTGTGCCCACTGCCCTGGGGAGCCTGTTCAGTGCCCAACCAGCCTCTGGGGAAAGAACCTTTTCCTAATACCCAGCCTGATCCTACCCAGACACAGCTCCAGCTGTCTCCTCTTATGTTAGTTCCTTTATGCTGTGTTTGTAAGATACCTCCATTGAGCCTTGCCCCTGCTCCCTGCCCATCCTCCCATCCTCCCCACAGTGGGTTTGCCCCAGTTTCCCCAGGGGAAGTAGCCCAGTGCCTCTCCCTCTGCCCCATTCAGCACAAATGACGCCGTGAGCCGCTGCCACCGCAGTTTCCTCCTCCCTCGCTGCAAGTGAGAGGAAGGAAAGAGCCCACGCCGTGCTGGGCTGTTGGTGTTTGTGGTTATGGTCGTGCAGGATGCGGTGTTCTCCTCACTGGGAGATGCTCCCCAACGAGATCAGCCCCACCACTGTCATGGGTCCTGCTCCCCATGCCCAGGCTTTGCCCTTGGCCGTGTAGCAGGACCAGGCTCTCACAGGTGAAAGAACCATGGAATGGTTTGGGTTGGGAGGGACCTTAAAGCTCTTCTCATTCCACCCCCTGCCACGGGCAGGGACACCTTCCACTAGCACAGGTTGCTCCAAGCCCCATCCAACCTGGCCTTGGACACTCCCAGGGATGGGGCAGCCACAGCTTCTCTGGGCAACCTGTGCCAGGGCCTCATCACCCTCACAGGGAAGAATTTCTTCCCAATATCCCACCTAACCCTGCCCTCTGGCAGTGGGAAGCCATTCCCTCTTGTCCTGTCACTCCAGGCCCTTGTCCAAAGTCCCTCTCCAGCTCTCTTGGAGCCCCTTTAGGCACTGGAAGGGGCTCTAAGATAAATTATCCTCCCAGCTGGAGCAGAATGGGTTTTTTCGAGGCACCACGTGAGCCCAGTGACTTCTTGTCGAGGTCAGCAAAGCTCCCGGCGGCTCTGACCACTTCTGCTGGACCAGTTGCTTACTTAGCTATCTCCCAGGTGCAGGAGCTCTCCCTGGAGGATGCCACACTCTGGGACACTACTGATTTATTTGGGCAACCTGCCAGAGTCATCCCAGGTGGATCCATGGCTTTGTGGCATCCGCTGGTTTATGGAAGTGACTCAAAGGAAAACTGGAGCATTGCTGAATTCCTGGGTCACTGTGACTGTTCCCTCACTGACAACATATCACAGGATCTTGGTGGGTGTCAGCAAACCCAGTAAGATACTGGGAGTAGCAGAGGCAAATTAGAAAGTGCATCTGAGCTGCTTGGAAACTTTCCAGGGGGATCTTTCTCCGCTGGAAAATGTTGATTCATTGAAAGTAAAAAGTTGTGTGGCAGCCCAGGGGCTTTCCCTGGGGGAAGTCTCCTGCCCTGTTAATTAATCTACAAGCCTGGCAGAAAGCCATAGAAATAGAGCATGTCCTGGTGAGCAAACACTTGTTCACAAGTCTGGTTTTGCAACCTCAGCACCAGTTTTGCTTGTCTTGACATTGGTCTTCTCCCACTGGGCCATGTCACCCTCTCCCCTGGTTTAAATTCCTCTTGCTTAGCACCTAGAAGGTGTGTAAAGGTATTTTTATGACGTGTCTGTGTTTCATGAATCTGTAGCCTCTGCAGTTGGGAATAATGTTTGAGGGCCAGACAGTGTGATCTGTAGGTTTGTGCTGAACTGCTGTCCCCTGCCAGCTCATGGCGTTCTCTTCCCCACTCTGGCTTGGGTTGGTGTTTACGTCCTGTGCTACTTCATAGACCGTGTGAGTGAAATCCATCTGATTTATATTTATTTTTCCTCTCTGATCTTTAGCACCTCTTCTCTGCAGTGAGAGATGCTCTGTTAATTTTGGTTTCTCTTTTGGGCTGAGACTGGGAGAGCCCCAGTTCCAGCCCCCCCTGAACTGTGCCGTGGGCTGCAGGTGAGCTGTGTAATGTCCACCTGCATCCCCTTCTGCCAAAAAAATCCATAGCAATGCAGGATGGGGGAGATGCTAAGATGGACCTTTCCCAGGTATTTATTGTGCAGTTTGCTTGAAGTTTCCCCGTAACTTTTCTCCCTGGGGCTGTGTGGGGTTCCCGGGTCCCTGGGAAGGAGGAGGAGGAGGAGGGGAGGAGGGGGTGCTGCTCCCTCCTTGCCCTGCAGCTCCTGGACTGCCCGCGGCCAGCAAGCACCGCCTCCTCCCCTGGGAAGTGGGGCCGGGATGAATGGGGACGCCTGGCAGCCTTCACACCGATCATTTCCTCTAAGGCCATCTGGGAGGTGGCCCTGACCGCTGAGGAGAACCTCGGGAAACACCTTGGGCCATTGTCACCACTCAGATCCCAGCAGATGTCTGGGGGGGGAAGGGGCTCGGGGGGTTTCAATTGGCTGGGGTGAAGGACCCACCATCCCTTTGCATGGCAATTCTCTTCTTTCACTCTGGCTAATCCTCTGGTGGGGTTTTAACAGATTTAATGAAAATTTGAAGGTGCCAAGAGATGGCTTAAATGCTGGACAGGCTTGACAGCAACCCAGATATGAGCTCTGCTGTGGTGCTGCTGTGTTGGTGCATCTCCAGGGCGTGGGGAAGCTGGGTGGCTGTGCTGCAGCTGGAGGGGATTGAATATCTGCTGACAGGAGGCTGAATTTGGCAGGATTTGAGTGAGTTTATAGTTGGGATTGTGCATCTGGTGTGTTTGATCCATGGGGCCGCAGGGCAAGGGGTCACACTGGTGGGTTGTCCGTGCCTGGGCAGAAGGAAGGTGGGTTCCACCCATGCCAGGCACATCCCTCTGGCCTCTGCACATGCATGGGGAAGGTCTGGCATGTCAACTACCCAGCTGGCACCTGGGCAGAGGCATCCAGCCAGCTGGATGTGTTGGGCTGTGAGGACACCAAGGTGCTCAGGTAGAAGCGGTGCTGCTTAGACAAGCTTCTTTTCTGTCTGAGGTTATGTCTGTCTGGAACAAGGGGGCGTGAGGTTTTCTCTTCTGCTGTAATCTGATGCCTGTGGTCAACACCTTCCTCCCTGACCCCTTCCCATTGTACATCCCTCCTGTGACCTTCTTGAATGGGGCTGTGAGTGACAGTGGCTCTGTGTCCCCCACAGCAGGGCTGTGCCTGAACTGCTGGAGCCTGCAGGAGCTGGTGAGCCGAGACGCCGGCAACTACCTCATCCTTGTGGAGAAGATCCTTGGCAAGACCAAAGAGGTGAGCTGGGAGGCCGTCAGGGAGGGCTGTGGGCTTTGAGACATTGTCAGCTCTGTGGCTTGCCCTAAGTGGAGCTTTGCTGAGCTTGCTGGGTGATTTTGGGTTGTGGTAAAGTATTGCCGGAGCACCAGGACTTGGGGTCAGGCGGTGCTGGGTCAGCAGGTACAGAACTCTGCTGGGAGTAATGCTGTGTGTCCCACATGAGAACTACAAGGAAAAAGCCCAGCTGTGGTATCTGTTCTTTGGGTAGCACTGCAGATCCACAGGGATGGGTTTTGACTTCCCCAAGTGCTGCTTGGGACACCATAGGGCTGCATGGATGGAGCCAGCCTTCCCCAGGCCTTCCCCAGCCATCAGCTGGGAGCTGCTAGTCCAGAGCAGAGCAAATTGAAAGTTTCCCATTGTTTTTGATGGAAACTTCTCTGTGTTCCTACCGGGCTTCCTGTGGAGCTGCGACACTGAGGGCCAGGGATGGGGTTTGCAGCCCAGCAGGTGACAGTGGGGTCAGGCACAGCAGGGAGGTGAAATGGCAGTGGGGCCAATCTGTTGACCTGCTGTGGTCCCATCATGTGCCAGAGAACCTCAAGGCATCGTTGGTTGAGCAGGGTCACCCCATGGCTGGGAAGGCCTTGGAGGAATCCCTTGATGTGGCAGGAAACAGTGACGTGTTTCCTAAATCCTCAGTACTGGGATTCATGTGATGGGGTAAATGCTGCCTTTCATTTTTTGGGGAAGAAAGGCTGCAGAGCTGATAGCAGTTAAGTTTAGCACAATTTGGTTAAATTAATTTACGTATTTTTGTAATGGTTGGAATTGATCTTGTTGCAGACAGTGGTTTATTAGGGTTTATTGTAAGGGTTTATTGCACTTTGTAATGTGCTCATGAACAAGGGGAGACTGTCTGCAAGGGTATCCTTGAGCTATCACTGTGTCCCTCGGTGAAATAGTTCTGTTGGGTGTTCCCTGGCAAAGCCTGGGATGGAAATACATGGATTTCACTGTGCTGCCCAGCTTTGCAAGCTGCTTGCAGGGGCTGGGCTGCCTCCTTGCCTCTCCTGGCTGCCTGCTTTGAGGCGCTTCCCTGGAATTTCATGGAACTGTGCAAGGACTGGGAACATCAAAGGGCTGGGAGCTTGGCCAGATCTGAGCAAAGGCAGAGCAGGAGGTTGTGCTTATCTGTCTGTCCCATTGGTGTGGATTAGTGGGGCTTTGGGGGTTGTTTTCCCGTCGGGATGAGGGAATTCGCTGGGCACTGTGATGTGGTGGTGCAGGTTGGGTGCTTGGCTTGCACCGCTGGGGAGTCCCCTGGTACCTCCAGGGATATTTTTGGGTGGTGCTCACACCAAACAGCCCAGCTCACCCTGCTGCCCTCGGGCTGTTCCCCACAGGTGCAGGAGAAGTGCGACTACGACCTGGTGATACCCCTGGCCCTGCTCTTCTACTCTGCTGTTCTCTACGTAAGTGCTGAGGCTGCTGCTTGGAGCCGGATCCCACCCTTGGGAAGGCCATGGAGCCACATGGAGGCAGTCACTGAAATAAGAGTGGTTTTGTCTGGAACACCACAGCCTGCTTTGATCAGTTCATCTCACAAAAAGATTCTGTACAAACCTGTAGGGATCAAGACCGTTGCACAAGCTGAGTGAAAAAAAAAAAAAAAAAATAAAAAGAGTTTCAGGATGTTTAAGCTATTTTTTAAAGGGTGGGCTAATCAGAAAGGGAGATGGACAATATCTCTATGCAGAGAAGGGAAACTTTTTCATTACCCTTTATACTTGTGCAAAATACATTGGCAGTGTGAATGAAAAGAAGGAGCGGGGCCTTCACAGGAAGTACTTTTTTTATGATTATTATTACTAGCACAATGCATTGTTATCCCAAGGAAATCATTGCTGCCAGATCCTGCAAAAGCACAGGCTGTAATGCAATTCATCTGTGTGTGTCTGGGGTGGTTAAAAAGGAATTTATATATAGGCTTTGGCACGTGAGCCACAGCCAGGAGGTTGGGAAGGTGCAGAGCAGAAGGAGCTTTCTTGGAGCTGTGCCCAGTGGGGATCCTTTGACCCTTCCTCGGGAGAAGATGGGGTGTCACAGGGTGAACCTCTGCTTTGCCTCTCCTCCTCCCACTTCCCGCCTAACCCCTGGAGGTTTTACACAGCACTTGTAGTTTGTGTCCTTGCTCCCTTTCTAACCGTGTCTCCCTGTTCCCTGTAGGCTCCTCACTTCCCGCCAGGCTCTGATCTGCTCCTGAAAGCTGCCAGTGTGTACCACAGCTTCCTGACCTGGCCTGTGCCCTACTGTGACATCTTCCGTGAGCTGCTCACCTTCATCAGCAATGAGCTGAGGGCCCCTGGTGAGCGTTCCTGCCCTGCTTCCCCAAAAAACACCCCCTGCCTGCACTGCCCATGTTTGCTCCCCGGGTGTTGCTGTCTCATTCCCCACTTGCTTCATGAATCCTGTGAGCATGGTACCCGCAGTTACCCTGGGCATCCCAAACCTCAGTTTTCCCAGGAGAGGTGAGGGCTCTGCCCTCCATCCTTGGCATGATATCACCTGGTGGTCCAGCACAGGGTGAGGCCAGACTCCCCTGGAGGAGCAGGGCAGGGTGATGGTTTTTGGTGGCTGCCAAGGTGGTGGGAACACCCTGGGGACTCCCAGCTCTGGCAATTAGCAAAATGGGTAACTATTTCCTGGCTGCCTTTCAGTCTGGTGGGTCTTTTCCATGGCAGAGCACGTGCTGGCTGCTCCCTCCCAGCCCTGGCCTTTTGTTTGAGATGCTCAGTGGTGCAACTGGGGTGATAACAGTGAGTCCATTCATCGGCATCAAGGTGGCTGGAGCCTCCGAGCCTGCCCTTGCGTGGAGATTTCCATAGGGCTGAGGGACTCCCTGGCTCGTTCTTTACAGCCCAGGCACTACCTTGTGATACAGCTCTGGCCACATCCAGCAGCAGCAGCAGTGCTCCCCTTAATTAAGGACTCCTCCTAGATGTCCTGTTGTTCCCAACGGAGCAGCTCTTCCAATTATTTCTAAAAGGCCCTTTTCCCTAATCTCCCGGGCTTTTGGTGGCTTTTGAAGAGCTGTTATCACACAGAGCAGATTCCAGCCCGTGTTTAATCCTGTGCAGGGCCATGGCAGCAAGACTGACTCTGAGGAGAGTTTGAGAGGCCTTGGAGGGGGGTGTGGGCTGGCGTTGGGGGTGTTCCCCACCCCCTCAGACTGGGAAGCTGCTTCAAAGAGCCCTGGTGAGGATGTGAAATGCAGGGTCTCTGTCATGGCAGCATCATCCTGTGAGATGGGAGCTTGTAGATGTAGGTGGGATGAAATGTGCTTTCAGTGGAACAAAAGCATGAAAAAACCCACCCAAATCCCTGAGCACTGTGAGCTCTGGAATGGCTGCCTTACCCCCAGCATAAATGGCCATGGCCACCAGCACAGATGTGAGGACACTCATCCCATGCTGCTGCAGCCGTGGGCTTCCCCAGCTCCTTCCTGGCCATTTATTGCTGTGATCCTGGTCAGGGCTGTTTCACACACTGCTGGAAAGCTCCAGAGCTGGGGAGGGGGCTGCTACACCCTGCTCTTGTGCCATCACCACCGTCACAGGTGCCCAGTGCTGTGTGAGCTGGGGACTTTGGTCCAAAACCTTTCCCCTCCTGTGAGCATGATGGATCCCCCACTCCTGCCAAGGATGCCATGTGGGAGGCAGTGGCTGCAGTGGCTGAGGAACCCAGTGCTGCTCCTCATTGTGGCCTCTCCCCTCAGCTGGAGCCAGAGCCAGCACCAGCAAGAGCGTGCCCTGTCCTGGTCAGCTGGCCAGGGCCTTGCAGGTTCTTACAGGCTTGTTGCACGGCCTCTGTGACCTGCTGCGAGGCTGAAGCAAAAGCTTTTTATTGAGATGAGGGTAAATATTAACTGAGAACAAGCTGTTGTCAATATTTGCCAAGAATGCAATAGCTTTGATCTGCTCACCGGGGCTGGTGCCCCTGCAAGAAGGGTGAACGCTGCTGTCATGGGGGGCCCTGTGTGATCAGCCTGAGCCCCCCCTGGGTGCTGCTCCCAGGCTGCTGAGCTGGGTTGGGATGTGGCTGCCTGCACTGATAAGGGGGCAGGATCTTGTTGATGCCATAAGATCTTTCCCAAGATGTGCCCCAATCCTACTGTTTGGGGGAGATGCTGGCTTTGCTGTTCCCACCCAGTGCAGATCCATCTGATGTCACCTGGTTTGGGTTCCCAATGGCATCCTGGGGATAATCCCAGGGAGGCATCCAGGGTTGTGGCTGCCCACACCAGCCTCTGCTGCTGGGGCCAGTCTGGGCTCCATCTCTGTGGGAGGGAAGGTGGCAGTGACCTCCTGTCCATAAGTGACATCAAGTGGTAAAAGCTGCTAAATATCCATGGAATTCCTATCCCACATTAGAAGTGGAGCAAAAGGGACTGAAGGTGGAGCAGTTCTCTGTCCCATCCTTACTTATTTTCCCATCACTCTGGGCTTTTACCCTTTACATCCCAAGCTTCCTTGCTCCTGGGCTGGTCCCTTTACACTGTGGCTGTGCCTTGTCTCTGTGAGGACTTTTGGTGGGGCCATTCCCATTCCAAGCAGCAACTCAGCCATGTCTGCACTACACTGGGAGGCAAAGTCAATGTGCTGCTGAGGCAGAACAGTCTGCAGTGGTTTCATTGCTCATGTCCTGTGCTCTCTCCCCAGGGATCACTTTCCAGAGGCTGGTGAGGACAGAGCAGGGGCTGCCTGTGAAGAACCACCAGAGTTCCACTGTGTGAGTGTGGCCATGGGCACTGCTGCTCCCCTCTGTGGCATCCCCACGGCCTGGCACTGAGCAGCATCTCAAAGGGGTCGTGGTGGGTGCTGGGGAGAAGGGCTGGATAGTTGGGCTGAGCTGTGGGAAGGGACAAGGAGAGTGGCTGTAGCATTTCCACAGCCATCGGACTGGGCCTGTGGGCTCCCCAGGCCAGTTATCCTGCAGGATTGCTTGACTCTAGGGCTGCAGATCTGGGTGACAACAACTGGGGAAGGCAAAGTTTCCTCCCCAGGGAGCTGCTAATCTCAGCACACATTGGAGAACAGCTGGGAAATGCTGTGATCTGTAGGTTTGGGAGCCACCACCCCAGCAGGGGTCAGAAGCAAGTCCATCCCAGTCCCAGTGCAGTGCTGAGTGAAAGCCTTGCAGCTCTGAGCACAAGTCAGACTTTGCTCCTTATTTGAGGGCTGAGCCTTTTTACCTACCACCTCATTTGTAAATAGGGAAAGGAGCCTGAGTGGTGTCTGCCATCCTGGCTCAGCCCCAGGGACAGTCCTTCAGGTACAGCCTCTCTGTGCAGGAGGAGTGTCCTCTTTTGGCTTGTCTGCTCATGCCATGCAGCCCTGGATCTGCACCCTTATCTCACCCAGCAGCACTGGGGTATTGGCTCTGTTTTCCTAAAGAGCCCTGAAAACCTGGCACAGGTCATAGAATCCTAAAATATCCTGTGTTGGAAAGGACCCACAAGGATCATCAAGTCCAGTCCTGAACTGTGGGCTTATTGTGCCCGTTGCCTGAGCTTTCTAGATCCAAGCACAGCCCAGCACGTCCTTAATTCAGAGCCCATTTTGCTCAGTGGACACTGAATGCTGTTGCCCGTGAACAGAAGTACATGCTGTCTGGGCTGCAGGTTTGGGAATTCAAAGCCTGTGGATGTTCATGTTGTGGTCTGGAGCAAAAATGCAGCTGAAGGATGTGGCTCTTCTCCTTAAAGCTTCTTCTCTGAGCTGCATCTTGCAGGAGGAAGGTGGTTCAGGGGCCTCTCTCATGTCCCACTTCATCCCATGTCCAGTTAGGGCAACTGGCTGCTGGGCTGGAGCCCTGTCTGGGCCTCACCAGCAGTCTCCAAGCCTGGCTGCCTGGCCTGACTGGTGTGCCCTTGTCCCCAGGACGGTGCTGCTGCTCAACCGCTCCGAGGTGCAGAGCGAGTTCCTCTCCATCGCCAAGAAGCTCAGTGCCAGTGAGCACCCCCAGCACGCCACACTCGTCCTGCTCCTCGGGCACCTCTACCAGGCCAACTTTGGCACCTGCTGTGACCTGGACAGCCTGCACCACCTCCTGAAGGTAGGCTGGGACAGCCCCGACTTTGGGGATGCCACTGAGAGTGGTTTCATGCAGTTGGCTGCTGGATTCCCTGAACAAAACAGCACATAATTGGCAAGAGAAAAGAAGTTTTGGTGACACTTCTTATAGGAAAAATACATGACTTTCACTTCTCAGGTCAGACCTGAGGTCTGCACTTGGGTTTTTTGAAGTGTGTGTGTGTGTGTGGGGTCACTTGCCTTTTACCCTGTTCCTCCCTTCTTCATCCCCAAGTGTAGAGAGGAAGGGTCCCTTGATTTGAAGTGCAGCAAAAGTGTTGGTTGACCAGAGAAAGACTTGGAGGAGAGGCAAAAAGCTGTGAAGAAAACCCCTTGGGTGTTTTCAAACAAGTTTTTATTTTCTTCGCTGAAGTTTTGGGGAACTCAAAAGGGAGTAGAGGGTGGTGGAGGGAGAGAATTACCCAGTCAGTGATCCTGCCCAAGGACCTGTGTGTTGCCTGAGTGGAGGAAACCCCTCAGTCTCTCACCTTGGCTCTGCTCCCCCAGTCCAAGACGCTGGAAGAGCTGTTGGAGATCTACTCCAGTGCCGCCGACGCGCAGGAGATCGCGGCCACCAGCAGCGACCCCGGGCTGGCCCGGGAGCGGCTCCAGGCTGTGCTCAGGGACATCGCTGGGGCTGCCTCCTTTCCTGCCATCACTGGTGAGAACCCGCCCCTGCCCCTCTTTTCTCCAGGGTTTGCTGCAGGCTCAGCCAGCCCCTGCAGCAGCACCAATGAGAATCTTGCACGAAGTTTCGACCGAGCAAAACAACTGCAACGAAAAAGCACCAACCCAGGTCCTGTTTGGTAACCACGCAATGAGCCAGAAAGGGTTTCATTAAAACAGCAACAAAACAAATTGTCCAGCCTGTAAGGCTGAGATGAAAACATTAAATCAGAAACTGCTGGTAGCTGTGATGTCTGACGGCTCTTAGGGGTGTGAAATGTCCCCTCGTCCCCTTTGCGTGTGACTGACATCACTGGTGTTCAGCATGACCTGGGCTGCCCAAAATGTGTGTGGGGGGTGGGTGGCATCTCCCACTGGCCAGGAGAGCTGGCAGAGGTGGTGTTGGGGGTCCTTGCAAATTAAGTCCTTTCCCTCCTCTCTTCCCAGGGGAGGCTCAGCCCCACAAGCTCCACACCATCCCCATCCCCACAGCTCGCTGCTACACGTACAGCTGGGACCAGGATAACTTTGGTAAGTGCAGGGGGTCCCCCCAGTCATCCCAGTGAGACCACAGCCCTCTGTTCCCCACTCCAGGGGTGGCTGAGCAGCGTTTCAGCTTGGCTGGGACTGCCACATCCAGCTGGGTGCATGATGGAGCTGATAACATATTGTTGGTGCCAGAGGGAGAAATGACCCCGTGGGTGCCAGTGTCCCCTGGATGGGACAGGATGTGGGTGACAGCTTGGGTGTGGTACCTGCTGTGATCCCAAGCAAAGCCCTTGTCCAAGCAGAGGGCACAGTACACTGGTGGCCCCAAATCAAGTTTTTCCAGAGACAAATCATGCAGGGCCTAATCTCCTGGGCAGGATTGTGCCTTGCATTAAGCTGGAATAGATTCATCACTCCCAAGTCCATGGGAACATTGGCAGGACAAGACCTTGTTTGGTAGGAAGCTCCTCTGCAAGGAGGAAACCTTACTTGTGCCCTGGAAATAATTATTGCTGGAAAAAACCGACTACACTGGGATACTGAGACTTTATGGGGTTGAGCCAGGTCAGACATGACAACTCTTCCCCCCTCAGCAGGATGGCCAAGGATTGGGTGCCTTTGCTTTGCTCTCAGCCCGGCCACAGCAGTTTTGGAGGGGAAGCAGTGGGTTCCCCTTCTGCCAAGCTGGTCTCTCCAGCTTCCCTATTCCTGGAAGACCTTGTGTGTTCCTGTGAATGTTCAGTGTTCATTGCCTGCTGGCCCCAGCAGGCTGGAGCAGAGCTCTGGCTCAGGCTTTGCAGTAAGTCCAGCCTTGCCAGGAAGCCACAGTGGGTCAGTTTGGGGTTTGATCAGCCGAGTACCTGGCTTTCCTCCTGCCCTTTGGTTAAACCTGGATCAGATTTGAGAGCATTGTGGAAGCTGTATAGGAAGGAAGCAGAACCCAAACAGGGTTCTCTCTTGGGGAGAGAAATATGTTTTGTTTTGCATTGCAACTGAGCACTTCATGAAAATCTGAAAACATTCAGGTGGAGGTTTCCAGCTCCTTGTTTGAAGCCATTCAGGATAGAGGAGAATACTGGCCGTGATGTAGTGGTGGTGTTGTCTGGGCCCATCACATCTGCAGTGGTTCTGCTGGAGCCCAGGGTGGACGTGATCTCCCTCTGGTTGCCTTTCAGATATCCTCAATGACATCCTCAGCAAGGAGTGCAGCGTTGTTGAGCCCATGGCCTCGGAGAACGAGGAGGAGGATGAAGAGGAGGAGGAGGAGGATGTGGAAACCGATGGCTGCTCCCCCGAGCGGGACTCGCTGCTTTCCCCCCTCTGTGCCATTTCCAGTGACTCCGTGTACTCTGTGCTGTCAGAGGAGGGATCTAAGCCCTCGCGAATGTCCCTCTTCACCTCCTCCAAGGACTCCATCTCGGAGCTGACGGTGGTCTCCAGGAAGTCCCTGAAGTCGTTCGTCTCCAGCCTGAAGGACTGCATGGACAGCGGGTACGCAGAGGACAGCGACGAGAGCTCCCTGGACGTGGTGGGGAGGACGGAGCTGAAGGCGGAGAAGGCCCACCACAAGTACAGGCAAACGCTGACCAACAAGATCTACAAACTGTTCAAGAGCAAAAGCCAGCTGGTGCTGCGGAGGGAGCTGAAGGAGTGCGGGGACACGGGGTCGCTGTCACTGCCGCTGCGCCGTGCCGAGAGCCTGTGCGCCTCGCGGGCCCGGCTGCGCATCCCGGCGCGCTCCCGGCGCGCTCATTCACTGCCCCAGCATGTGCTGAGCCAGCGCCTGCCCGCCCCGCTGGCCCCACAGCACCTCAGCCTGCCCCGGCGCCCCTTCCTCAGCTACGACGAGGACAACAAGGTGTCCACCCTGCGCGTCGTGGTGTTCGGCTCCGACCGCATCTCGGGGAAGGTGGCCCGAGCCTACAGCAACCTCAGGTGAGCCGGGAGGAGCGGGGTCTGACCGCAGGGACCTGGCCCTGCCGGGACATCCCGCGCTGCTCTGCTCACCCGGCCCTCTCCGCCTTCTCCCAGGCTCAAGGAGAGCACCTGCCCCTCACTGACAAGGTACTTCAAGCTGCAGTTTTTCTACGTCCCCGTGAAGAGGAGCTGCTTGGCTCCCTCGACCCCCCTGCTGCACCATCCCTCCCCATGCCTGGGGGACCCACAGCTCCGGGCACAGGTAGGTGTCCCTGCGGTACCAGGGCTGGCAGGGCAGGCTGAGGGGAGCCTGGGGGACCCTCAGAGTGACCCCAGTGTGTGTGGTTTCAGGATCCCACCTCTGCTGGGATGGAGAGCAGCACCAACGACATCTCCCACTACATCGGCATGTTGGACCCATGGTACGAGCGCAACGTCCTTGGGCTGATGAACCTGCCCATGGACGTCCTGTGTCAGGTGCGTGTGTGCCAGCTGGTAGGGCTCATCTTCCTTCCCCGAGGAACTGGGGACCTGATCAGAGAAACTTCTGCTTAGCACTGGGCCACCACGATCCTCTGCAAGAGCCTGTGCTACATGGACACAGGATGGAGTTGGGGGGTTCCTGGTGGTCAGAAGGAGGGTTTCTGTCCCCGGGGGGGTGGGATGGACAGTTCTGGTTGTAGGTACCTCATATACCCCATCATGTTGCTGACTTATTCTCCCACCACAGTCTACCAAGCCGGAGGCTGAGCCCCAGGAGGACTCCCAGGAGCAGCTGCCCATCCTGGCAGACATGATCCTCTACTATTGCCGCTTCGCCACACGCCCCGTCCTGCTGCAGCTCTACCAGACAGAGGTAGGCAAAGGGCCTTCAGCCCCATCTTCTGAGAGGAAAGTGAGGGTCTTCTGCCTGTGCCACCAGGTTGGGACCTGCCTGTGAAGCGATGTGTGTCACAGCCACCACGTTCTGGCGAGGCAGGGCTCGGACCCCGACTGTCCCTGTTGCTTTGCTGATGCTCCTGGAGCAGGGATTGAGGGCATGCAGGTCCTGCCCAGACAATCCTGTAGTCATACAAGCAGTTTTCCATCAAAATTCCTTTCCTCGTGACACAAATCGATGCCTGTCAGTGCTGGCAGGTTATTCACATTGCTGGAAGTCTCTCCAGCGCTCTGCTTCCCAAACCAAGCCCCTCCATGAACCTGTTTTCCAAACCCACTGTGGGGAAGGTTGAATATGGGGCTACAACAACTGTTTTGGTGCTGTGGCTCGGGACCAGATGCAGTGGGGATGTGATGAGCGGAGCTGCTGCTTTTCATGGGATTTGTGTTCCCAAAGGAATACCCAGATTCATCATGGAGTTTCTTTCCAATAGGCTGTGGAGTTTTCTTTAAGTGAAGATTAGGGGTTTGTGTTGTTTGACTTGCTGGTGGTCTGTTAGAGCAGCCTGAAGAACAGCTAAAGACAAGTGTCACCCAGAGCAGCTGTTGAAAGGTGTGTTTTGAGAACAGGAAAGGATTTTCCCAAACTGACCTGTTTTCCGTGGAAAGGAGTTAGAAGGATGAACGCTGCCTGGCACAGGCTGGGTGGTCTCACCACCACATCTTCACTCTTCTGCCCTGGCAGCTCACCTTCATCGGGGGAGAAAAGATGACCGAAGTCTTCATCCACTCCCTCGAGCTGGGCCACTCAGCAGCCACACGGGCCATCAAGGCATCAGGTCTGTCGCTGCTGCACCCACCCACCCACCCACTGTGGGGGGCTGCAAACCACGGGGCTGGGAGGTGAAGGGAAAGAGGGGCTGGAGGGAGTGTGGGCTGCGAGACATGTCTGACACAGCCTGAGCAAAGGTTCAGACAGCTCTCTGCTAGTTTGGAAGAGAAATATCCTAATTCTTGCATTCCTCTTCAGGTGTGGCAATGCCTTCTTGTTTTTGCTGCTGTTAACTCTAAAATGGATTTACAATGAAACAGCTTCAAGCCCATTTCCTTCCCTTCATCAGCACCTGGTCATACGCAGCTTTACATCTTTTCTTTTTGCTGCTGTTTGTGCTTTCTCCAGGAATGCCATTTATAAACCCCTATTTCTGTTTCCATAGTTTACTGGGCAAAGCAAGGTTTGTGGGTGTGTGCTTGGAGCCTTCCTGAATGTACATTTATGTTAGGAATTTGTAAAATTAACAGTGTTAGAGAGAAGGAGCAATGGCAGGAGCATCTGCCTGCAGCGTGGTCTCCAGCTCTGGTGCAGTGCAGCTCACACAGACCTCCCGTGGCCAACCCGCAAAACTGCACCTAAACACACTGCTTCAGCCTTTAACCAGCTGCTTTTCTGCAATCTCGCCTTGTCCTTCTCACCAGAGCTCATAAAATATCCCCCACGTGAAGTGTCACCACTCCACTCCCCCAAAATACAGGCTTGGCCAAGACCTCTTCCCACTAACTCGTGAAACCACCAATCCCGACTCTGATGGTTTTTCCCTTGGGTTGTGTGACAAAACACCACATCTGCAAAAAATTATCTGGAAGGGGCGGGAGGGTGAAGTTAGGAAGTGTTGGGCACAGTATTTCAAGGCTAATTTAATGTGGGCAGAAATATGCCTGGAAAAACAGGAGCCGGGTTAGCAATGTGGCCTTTTATTGCTTTGTGTTTTCCCTGGAGCGCTGACCCCTCTGCACCAGCTTAGCCAGCGCCTCTTTCAGTTCTGCAGAGCAGCTTGTGGTGCTTTGTGTTGGAATTCCTGCACTGGATTAATTGCTTTCTGGCAGCTTTGAAGCCACCTTTTCTCTTTTTTTGTCTTTTTGCTCCACAGCCAGGTTCAGCAAACCATTTCCCCCCCTTTCTGTAGGTACTGATTATGCTGCTGTATCAGTAGCCAGTGAAGGATGTGGATAAAAAGCCACTGTGTGACATTTGCTCCTTGTTTTGTGCAGGTCCAGGCAGCAAAAGGCTGGGCATAGATGGAGACAGGGAAGCAATCCCATTAACACTACAGATTGCCTACAGCAAGGTGAGTGTGTGGGACTCACACAAATGGGGCAGAAACCACCTCTGTGCTGGGCAGGCAAGTCTCATCTGGGGGCTGAGAGAGGCAGGGCTGACAGTCTGCTGGAGGAGCTCGAATCCAAGCCAAATTCAAGCTAATTGTCTATTTAGTGGCTAATTGGAGGTGGCTTTCCACTCCTGTTCAGCCCAGTAAAATGGAATGTGTAGCCATCTTCCACAGGCTCTCTGTTCTCAGTGCCACTTCACACAGGTAGCAATCTTGTGGTGGGCACAGCAGTATTCCTGTTTTATTGGTTCCTCTGCAGTCATTCAGTGGTTTTGCCTGGGCAATTTTTTTTGTGAATCCAAGGTTAAATGAATTTTAATGCCTACACAAACCCTGTGCAGCTCTAAGTGAATCCAGATGTGAGCCAGCCCACACAGATGGTGTGGGGTGGGAGGTGGGGTGACGTCAGCCTGGAGTGTGGCATTTGTGGTGGCATCACAACAACCCCACATAACGCTCTGGGCTGGGGGCAGAGTGGTTGGAAAGCTGCCAATGGGAAAGGACCTGGTACTGGTGACAGGGGCTGAACATGAGCCCAGGTGGCCAAAAAGGCCAATGGCACCTGGCTTGTACCAGCCATGGGGTGTCCCAGGCCCAGGGCAGGGACTGTCCCTGTGCTGGCCCTGCTGAGGCACCTCCAGTGCTGGGGCAGCTCTGGCCCCTCAGACAGGAGAGACACTGAGGGGCTGGAGCGTGGGCAGGGAAGGGAACGGAGCTGGGAAGGGGCTGGAGCAGCAGGAGGGGCTGAGGGAGCTGGGGGGGCTCAGCCTGGAGAAAAGGAGGCTCAGGGGGGACCTTCTGGCTCTGCAATCCCTGACAGGAGGGGGGAGCCAGGGTGGGGTCGGGCTCTGCTCCCAGGGAACAGGGACAGGACAAAAGGAAATGCACCATGGGAAGTTCAGATTGGATCTTAGGAAATATTTCTCCACCAAAAGGGTTGTCAAGCCCTGGCACAGGCTGCTTAAGGCAGTGTTTGAATCACCATCCCCTGGGGTACTTAAGAGACGTGTAGACGTGGTGCTTAAGGACATGGTTTAGTGGTGGAATCGGCACTGTCATATTTAGGGACTTACTGATCTTAAAGGCCTTTTTCATGCTAAATGACTCTGTGATTCTCTCTCCTGGGTTCTGCTCGGTCCCTGCAGACAGCTGTCAGTGGAAGAAGTCACTGGAATGATGTTGAGAAGGTCTGCACATCTGTCAACCTCAGCAAAGCCTGCAAGAAGTATGAAGAACTTGGTGAGTAGAGCTGGCTGTGCCTAGGGACTGGTGGAGTGAGAGGACAGTGTGGATCTTCTGGCTGGGGCAAATGGGGGCTGTGTGAACGCAGGAGATAATGGGAGGTGCCTGGTGTTCCCTAGTCCTTGGCTGTCCTTAGCACCACATCAGGGACAAAGGGAATTTTGTGTCAGGTTTCCAGTTAATAAAGCTTTGAGCCCTTTAAAAGCACCGAGACTTTTAGTCCCTGTGTGTATTCAGAAGCAATAGAATCACAGAATGTCTCACACCATGTGCCTGAGAACATTGTCCAAATGCTTCTTGAACTCAGACAGGCTTGGTGCTGTGACCACTGCCCTAGGGAACCTGTTCCAGTGCTCAACCACCCTTTGGGTGAAAAACCTTCTCCTGAGATCCAACCTGAATCTCCTCTGCCTCAGCTCCAGCTGTTTCCTCGAGTCCCCTCACTGGTCACGACAGTGATCTGTTTGTTCTTGCTCAAGAACTGCTGGTTTGGCATTCAGACATCCAATTCTGAATGAACTGAGGGATTTTAGTTCCTTTTTCCTTGTGTGCTTTGTTCCTGGCAGCTGTGTGGTTTGTGAACAGAACAGTCAGGGCAAACGGGTGATCTACCAAATAGGAGACATCCCCTACATCCTCCATGGAGCTCCACCTAAACCTCTGTCCCTCCTGTCCTCCTCTTGCTGCCCCATCCATGAAGCCATGCAGACAACTCTGGGAGAAAAACCAGCAGGAATTAGTTTCTCACCTCCTCTGTACTTCGAGTTGGTTGTCTCTGCCCTAGTTCAGGAGCTTCACCTGTGCTGCCAGGGCTGTGGGTTTGCATCAGGGGGTGTCCTCAGCTCCACTCTGAGGAGAAATTTCACAGATCTCCCTCCTTCCAAGAGAAATCTGGTCCCCTGGATGATCTCCATTGGTTTTCACATTCAGCAGTTTGACCACAGGATGTCACTGTGATTCCAGGCATGAAGAAGCATCTCCAAGTGGACATGCTGGGAGAGTTAAAATTTCCTCATGATGATGGGGCAATGTTTTTTCTCCTCTTTGGGTCCCAAGATAGTTAAATATTCTCTTCCCCCCTGTGTCCCTGTTGCTTGCTTTCCCTGTGGATTAGCCTGAGGGAAGGAAAGCTGGAACTGTTCTGCATTTCCCCCAGCAATGGGGGGACTGACCCTGGGGTGCTTTGAGGGGGGGAGGGACCACTTGGGTTCTCACCAGTGGTCCAGAAGCCCCAACTGATTGCAGTTCTGTTTTGTTACAGCCTCGAAGACAGAGTGCCTCAACTTAACCATGACAGAGGTGGTCAAAAGGCAAAACTCCAAGTCCAGAAAAAGTTTCAATCAGGTAACTCTAATCATGGTGCTTTTACATGTGGTAAGGTGAGGTTGGCCTGACCCAGCTGGGAGGGAAGCAGGGCTGGAGAGAGCAGCTCCTTGGGGGATCTGTTTGCCTTAGGGGTGCCCAGGGGAATGCACTGAGCCCAGCAGCTCCCTCACTCCAGCTCTCCTTCTCTCAGCAGATCAGTGTGTCCCAGATAAAAGTAGACAAGGTCCAGGTTATTGGTGTCCAGTCCTCCTTTGCTGTGTGCCTGGACCAGGATGAGCAGAAGATCCTGCAGAGTGTAACCAGGTAGGAACTGAAATGGGGCCAACTGGGATGGTGCATCCTGTGTCCAGGGCTTGCCTGTGAGGTGTGGGGGGATGAGGTCCTGAGCACCCTGGTGGGTCTGTGCCAGGTGCCCAAGCTGGGTGATGCAGCCCCAAGCTCTGCAGGGCAGCTGAGCTCAGCTGGGATGGGTGGTGCTGCTCAGATCTCAGCAGGAGTTTACCTTCCTGAAGGCCCCAGTCAACTCTTCAATCCCAAAGACAGCTCTTTCAGCAAGATCCATCATGAGCCAGAGGCCATGTGAGATAAATGAGGTGTTTTAAGAGCACTGGGCACATGAGCAGAGCCTTCAACTTCTGAACCTCATTTGGGTCCTTCCCTGCCTTTGGCATCCTTGCTGCAGAAGGAATCCATGATCTTCATGGGAGAGTCTGGGATAGAGCAGGAATTGTCCACTGGACTGTTCATCTCTGTCGTCCCATCAGGGCACCCAAGTGGCTCCCCAGGTGGTGAAATTTGAAATCTCAGTGTAGACAACATGCTTCCATGAACACAAGAGGTCAGACCAGTTGATGGACAGACATTGTAATTTCTCTCTCAGACTGAGCAGAACTCTGCAAGGTTATGCTGCCTCTAACAGAAAAATATTGGGAATCTCATGTCTTAAATAACCCCAAAGAGAAGTGTTTCTCTCTAAAGTGTTTATTGTGAAACTCAGGGGATAGTGGAGTTCAGTGCATGAAATGGTAAAGGAGCTCCTTCCATCTCCCCAAAACTTCTGGGGTGCAAAAGCTGTTTTTCCAATGAGTTTCAGAAAATACTCTTTATGAATGGTTCTGCTCTTGGTCCCAGTCTGAGCCAGCTGAAAGGCTGATTCCTGTTTGGTTTTAGATATTCCTACTGCACCTGAGGAACACCAGGGTATACTTAGAATATCCTATATTAGCAGAATATCCTATTCTATAATATTAGAGTATACTTAGAGGTTGGTTTCTCTTTGTTCCCCTGCAGGTGTGAGATCTCTGTGTGCTACAAACCCAGGGACAGTGATCCCTTTGCACTCAGAGGGTCCCCTCTGCCTGCCCAGGACCCCTCTGAGTTCCACTCTCTCCTGTGTTTACCCATTGCCACCTTCAGTGGAGCACTGCCTTGAAGACCCCTGTGTCCTTCCAGACCAGACTCCCATCCCACAGCAATCCAGGCTCAGGAAGAGGAAGCTGATTGTCCTGCTTTGGACACCCAGCCATGCTCGTCCAAGACATCCTGGAGCTGAAGGCTGGTGGCTGAGCTGCTCCTGGCCTGAGCTTAGCCCTCCCTTGGGAAATGGGAATGCTGGTGGTGTGCTCTGGTATCTCTCAGGGTTCCTCAGCAAGGGGAGGAAAGTGGTTTCCTTGAGATCTCCACCTGGCAACACCTGGGTGAAGAGGGCAAGGCAAGGACGGGGATTTTCCTGCCAGCAAGTGGTGCTGTGGCTGTGTTTGACAGTGACTGCAAGGCCAGTGGGATATGGGGTGGGGGAAGTGAACTCATGGGGGGATATTTTGGCAAGTGAATGTCCTTGGCTGAGTGGAGGTAGGTGTCCTCAATGTGTGTGGAGCTACAGATCACCCAGCCAATGTCATTTCACCTGTGACAGGTCAAGGATGCTCAGGGCAGTTCTTTGGGGATGGGATGGGCTTTCTCAAGGTTTCCTTTAAATTCTGGAGGTTGGGTGTCTTGCAGACAAGCAGAGCAACCCAGCAAGCCCCCAGCATGGGCTGTAAACTGCTGTGTGTCCCAGTGAATCGAGTGCCATAGGCCATTCCAGGGCAGGACAGCACGTTGTGTATCCATGTATTTAATGGACATCCAGGACCTGCAGGAGAGAGTTTCCAGTTTCTGCAGAATTTCAGCATTCACCCATGAGTATTCCCTGTTCAGCCCCTGGTCTTGCTTCCTGCTCCCCAGCACTGTTTGCTGGAGACACTCCAGAGGCTGAATCCTCAAGAGCTGCTTGAAATACATCAGGAACTGTGCTGAACTCAGGGAGGGAGGGAAGTGCTGGGGAAACCACTAGGATTGCCTTGAGCTCACCTGAAGAGGCACCTTTGATAGAGAAAGACCCAGCACCAGAACCTTTATGACACTTGCAAGGGACAATAGGATTTGAGATCCCTCTCCCTGGCAAGACTCATTCCTCCCTCTTCCTTCTCTCTGCAAGGCTGTAGGTACAGAAAGGTGCAATATTTGGGGGTATTTAGAGGTATTCTGACCCAATGAGCAAAAAAAATAAGACTGGGAAAGCTTTTCCAGGTTTCTTAGCCCTCCAGCTGTTTCTTGGTAGTTTTTGGGGATTGTGGTCCTTGCTGGCTCTGGTGTCCTCAGCAGTTGAGTGTAACTTCTGCCAGTGGCCAGAGAGGAGCAAATACGAGACATGAACACAATCCTGAGGCCTCTGTGCTCCATCCTTCCACCTGAATCAACCACCCCAAGGATGGTGTTGCCTTGGGAACTCTAAGAAAAGACCCTCATGTGGGCTGAAGGATCCATTGAACATGAACACTGAACAGCTCTGGCTCCACCAGGATGCAGAGCCAGCTTAGACTCCTAGCAAGGACCCACCTTCCCCTGCCATGCACCAACCCCAGGAGCACCCATCTCTTCCTGCATGGAGCAGTGTCCATCCCTCGCTCTCAGCACAGGCTTGGCAGGTCATGCTGGGCTGTCTCCTCCCCCACAGGCTGCCTGCAGGGTGATGCAGGACCACTGAGGTCACTGCTGTGCACTTCTCTACGTCACTATTTGAAGTTCATAAGGCTCAAGGGATCAGAAACAGATTGGAATGGCTCTTGGAATAAGTTTTCTTCACCGACTTTTCATTTCCCAGACAGGTTTGTGTGTGTTTTCTCCAATGGGGCTGAAATTTGACAGCTGGTTATTGTTGTCCAATATTTTAAAATAGCACCTTATCCTGTCAAAACATTGCTGTTTGTGATCCTGATATCTGGCTAAATATATCCCTGCCACTGGTATGATATCAACCACTCTGCTTTCAGCTGGCCCTCCAGGAATACTGGAGAAGAGAATTTCCATCCCATAGAGGAAAAACAAGCACAGACTCTAAGGACTCGTAATCCTGGCCAAGGTTTTGACCTCTGATGCTTTCTGGAAAGGAAAGAATTACAGGGTTCTTTCAGGTCACCCTTGTACATATGTGCAGCCTCACCAAATCTGTGTAAAGTCTGTGCTGATCTGTAAAATACTGTTCAAAGAACTTTTAAAGTGATTGTAAAATATTAAATGTTGATTTATTTCGAGTACAAGTTTGGGTCAAGTAATTCCTGAGCAGGGGGGAGGCAGGGGAGGAACCTCCACGAGGAGAACACACGGGTCCTGCACTGAGGAGCTGCTCTAGGAGCAGGAAAAAGCTTAGAAAAGCCATTCTAGTCATGAGCTCGGTCCCAGAGGAGACCCCTGGAGGTTAATTGAGCTGCTTCTGTTCTGTGAGTGACAATGCAGGGTTTGGGTGTTGTAAATCCCAAATTGGCTTCATGCTGGATTAAGGAGAAAAGAAACGAGCAGAGCTCGTGGGTGCAAGGTGAGATCTGTGTGTGCCCTTCCCTTCCTGGAACCTCTGTGACCTTTGCTGCCCTGATTTGCTCCTGGGGCCAGGGACAAGGTCCAGCCTGGGGAGACAGCAGAGCTCTGGGATGAAGGGTCCCTGCTTGGGGTCAGCAGGGGTTTGCCCAGCAGCTGGATATTACAGAATGTGCTGAGAGTGGGGCAATTCTGACTTGGAAATCCCTTCTGCTTCTTTGGGGGTGCAGGTTGGCAGCTGGAGCTGCTGCTAGTGAAAGTGCTCTGAAATATGAAGTGACACTTGGAAAATTGAACTCTCTCCAGTGTCACCTTCTCCTGTGGATATTCAAGGAAAGAGGCTTAGTTGGTAGGTGTGAGGGCCAGTGTGTCATGACCAAATAAACAACATGGGAAAAGTCATTTGAGCTCAGACAAGCCAAAAACCAGGTGAGAATAATTTCTGTTAATCACTTTTTTATGGCTTAGCTATCTTTTTTTTTTTTTTTTCCCACTCTGATTAAACAATAACAAAAAGTGTATTTTAACTGAAAAGAAAAGGTCTTTTGAAAAGGCAAAGAAGGCAAATTTTCCAAGCTGGAATAATTATCTGCTATTGTTTGTTCTCAACAGCAAAAACACCCCTAAAGCACAAATTTCCCCCCGTCTCTGTTCTGTTCTTTTATAGAGGTAAGTGGAAAGAGGAACATGAATGATTAAATCCAAAGCAGTAATAAAGTACTTTGTTCTAAAAATGTAGATATCAAGAAGTTTGGGATCAGGGTCCAAGTCTGATCCCTGAAGTCCTGCATAGCTGAGGGGAAGTGGCAGTTTCAGGTGCCCTGCTCTGTCAGGGCTTGTCATCCCACAGCCACCTCAGCTGGACTGGGCAGAGCTGGAATGTTCTAGTGCACGAGGTGAAGAAGAACATGAGGCAGTGCTCATCCAGAGAAGGGGTTCTTAAGTGGCCACCCATGATCTGGTGGTTAATTAGAAATACAGAATTAATTACCATCAAAAGACAGGAATGAGATTGCATGTCCGTGGGCTTGTGCAGCTCAGCACTGCTGACCCCCTCCATGTGTTGGTTGGAATTGTGGGGCAAACCTTCCTCTTGTACTTCTGTTTCCTGGCAGACACACGTGCAGTTCCACGGGTGTCATTTCTGGGTGTCCCACAGCGAGAGACCAGCAGATGGGGGGATGACACCAGGTGTGGAAGCCCAGAAAGACCTGGGGTTTTGTGGACCCGAATTAGGTTGAATTAAGACCTGAATTATTTCCATGTCAGAGGTGCTCATCTGCTCTCTCAGCTGTAGCAAGAGGTAGCAGAGAGCACAGTCAGCTTCCCAGCAGTGCTCAGTCCCTGCAATCCATTACAGGACTGGGATTAATGTGCCTGGGATGTCTCCTGGGTCACGAGAGCCCCATAGCATCATCCTTTCTGTCTCTGTGCTGCCTGTCTGCTCCCACCCCTGCAGCTCAAATTTCTTTCAGGGAGGGGCACCTGGGGCCAGCTCAGGTCCTGCTGGCAGCGAGCCCCGAGCTGGGCTCCTTGCCTGAGTCACTGATGGGCCAGCCTGGCCACGGTGCCCAAATTCACCTTTGCTCAGGACTAAACAGGAGTGAAGCTGGACTAGTGGAACTTTCCTGGGCTCCAGGCATCTCTTCACCTCTCCTGGCGGTGCCTCTGCTCCACTGCCCTTGTCTTAATGGTGCTAATCAATGATCGATTAAAAGATAATAAGGCTCCCTGTGCCTGCATGAGGAACAGAGTTTTCCTGGCAGAGAAAAGTCATGGGAGAGCAGTAATGGTGTGCTAATGATGCAAAGTTGCATAATTACCAGTCTGTTCCGATGCCTGTCTGGCTGTGAGTCGGTGCAGAAAGATGACTGCATGAGGAATGGGGGGCTCTTCTGTGCCAATCCCCAACTCACCTCCTTCCAGTATTCTCTATGCCCTCAGAATCCCCTCTCCCCTCCACAGGCACCTTCACTGCAGCACTCACAGAAAGACATGCAAAGGTTAAGGGGTTGCAGAGTACGTCCTAAAACTGAAATCCGAGTCAAAGCAAGCATGGAAAATATTCTGTGGTATTTACCCATCTCTGGGATAACCTGGACTTGGGTCTGGCTGCATAAAACTCTCTGGGCAGCAATGGGCCAGTGCAATGCTGTGTGTTTAGCTGGTGTTTCCAGCCACAGGGAGGGCCTGGAGCAGGGTGGCTCAGTCAGATGAACACTCTTTGTCCTCCCAAGGGTAAGTCCTGCTTCTGGCTGTGGCTCCTCTTGCATCAGGGCTCCTGTGTGACCGCTCTGAGGCCAAAGCCACGGCGTGGCTGTGACCGGGGAGAGTGCAAACATGATGTCCAGCGGTGATGAGGTGTGGATGGGCTTGGGCTGCCTTTGTGTGCTGCTGATTGCAGTGTCTTTCCTGTGAAATGCAGGTTGAGATGTTGCCCCTGTAACTAGAAATGTGGGGAGGGTCTGTCAGGTTGCCCAGGACCTGTGTCCTCCAGGGAGGGTCTGCTGGGAGATCCCTGCTTTGGAACTCAGCGAGGGGCTCCCTCCTGCAGTCACTTTTGGGAATAGGTGGAGAAGACTGGAGAAGGCTGATGACAAAGGATGTTGCAGGACACATTCGGGGTAGGCAGGGTGAGCAGGCAGGGCAGCACGAGCAGCTCGATGGTCCCCTCCTGGGCATGCACTGGGGACTGGTTTCTGAGTCCAGCCCTGTCCCGGGCTTCTCCAAAGAAGCAAACCTTGAGATTCAGAAACAACCTTCCCCTTTCTCTGCCTTGGAAGCTTAATCAGCATTTCAAAAGCACTGCTGTGTTCATCCTGAACAACAACTGTAGAAACAGCTTCTCCACTCAGCTTATCAGCTCAGCGCGTGCTGCAGCGACTGTGATTAAACTGAGCTGTTTCCTGTTGCACTTTATCTCTGGCAGAACCGATAAGCTCGAGAAATTGATCCCTTTCCAAAACTGTCACCTCGGTACCCACGGGAGAGCCGTAAATTCTGGCAAGAAGATCCTGGGGGTGTGAGCAGCAGGCACATAACCCTTGGTGTACATGCATGCAGCACTTCAGATTCTGGGTAAAAAGCAATCTGTCCCCATCTCAAGTGGCTGATTTCTTCCTCAGCACTGGCCAGTCACTGACAACCCCTGTGAGCACAGACGTGCCCAGCTCATCAGCACGAGGCAGTTCCAGCACCCACCACGGCACTGGATCCCTTTCCTCCAGGTGCCTCAAAGTTTCCTGCTCACAAGTGGGTAACCTGTGATTCATTAACCTGTAGGTAAGAACCTGCACCTCTTTGTGCTGGTACCTGTACCAAAATATCAGTTAAATGATATTTTCCACCTTTGCAGGACAAAACAAGACTTGAACAGTCTGTGGTTTATTATTATTATTATTATCTTTTGCTGCTACTCTCTCCTTATTACGATTTTTTCCAAGAGAAATAAAAAGAGTTGGAGATGACTCAGTTTAGAGAAATGAAAAAGGCAATTTAAATACCATCAAACTGGCTGTTTGCTTGGCTTTCCCTCTACCCAAATCGTCTATATTTGCTGCAGCCTGAATAAAAATAGAACTGGGCTGAATGCCAGGGTGGAAAATAGAGATGCAGCATCAAAATATTGCTTGGATTGTGACCTGTTCCCTTATAAATCGTAAGGAAATCATCCGTAGACCCACGTGCTGGGGGTTTGGACATGTGACAGGAGGAGGTTTCCCTGCAGGATGGGAGTGGAGCTCAAACAGCTCCGCTTTCTTTGCCCGAATACCTTTGCTTCCCTCAGCACTCAGATGACCCGGGAGGTATGTTATTAAAGCAGCCACGTAATGACGGAAAATCGAAGCAGGGACAAGTAAAGCATCCATGAATAGAAACCAGGGCAGGAGGAGAGTTGTCCAGAGCTCCCCTTTCACGGGGAGGGTGTGGAGCAGTGGCCAAAATAGGAACGGAACGTCAGTGCTGCGATGGGGAGGAGAAACAGCCCCGTCTCCGCCGGGCCCGCTCGATGCCAGGGCTGGCACTGCCACCGTCGCTCTGCCAGCCCTGTCGGTGCCAGAGCCAAGAGAGGGGCTGTGAGGGGCCGGGCTGTGACCACCGGGAGGGACCCAGCCCTGGTGAGTCGGCTGCTGGCCTGGGTGGGGAGCTGCTGCTGCCGGCACGAGGTCAGGACACGGCGGGATCTCAGGAGCACAGAGAGCTGCGCGCTGCTCCCGCGGCAGGAAAACCCCTTTCTGGGGCAGCAAGTTCCTCTCCAGGCTGGAAACCTCATCTCCTGAACTGGTGCTTCAGGTGAGTCTTTTCTGTTTCACAGAATCACGGAATGGTTTGGGTTGGGAGGGACCTAAAAAGTTGTCTCATCCCACCCCCTGCCATGGGCAGGGACACCTTCCACCAGCCCAGGTTGCTCCAAGCTCTGTCCAACCTGGCCTTGGACACTTCCAGGGATGGGGCAGCCACAGCTGCTCTGGGCAACCTGTGCCAGTGTCTCACCACACTCACAGTCAAAAATTCTTTCCTAATATCTCATCTAAATCTGCCCTCCTTCAGCTTAAAACCATTCTCCCTTGTCCTCTCCCTCCCTTGTCTCCAGTCCCTCTTCAGCTCTCCTGGAGCCCTTTCAGGCACTGGAAGAGGCTCTCAGGTCTCCCCAGAGCCTTCTCTTCTCCAGGCTGAACATCCCCAGCTCTCTCAGCCTGGCTCCAGAGCGGAGGGGCTCCAGCCC